CCTTACTTGCAGGCAAGGCATACACACACACACAGGTGTGGGGTGGTTCTTCAAAATCACAGAGATGCCTTGACAATTGAATATGATTTTACTTCCCCAGTTGATTGCCCAGCTCTTATAAGCAATAGATTCTACCATACAAAATAATTCCTGCCCCAGGTCCTTGAAATTTGTAATAATGGACATCTAGTTTTATTTGAAATTCACTCAGAGCTTTCTATTTCCTCTAGGCATCTACAGCACAAAGATAATAACATATTCATAAAAAGTATCCTGCTTCACTTACATGTTGAAGAGCCTTAGAAGAGCTGCAGTTAAGTTTCTTTGTTTAGTTAAGATTTGATTATCTACTTGTGTATACTGTTGTCACCAATCACCTAGAATATAGAATCCATCAAAGTGGACAGTTCTCCAGCCAAATAGAGTTGTAGAGCTATATGATTCTTTTCCTGGATGTTGTAGAGGCTGAGCTTCTTACTTGAGTAGAGAATAAAAAATAGAAGCATGTAACACTTGACTTATTTGAATATAAAAGTGGGAAATTCTGAGTTCCTGAATCCTAAAGCCTTGGGGAAAGAGCCTGTTTGTATTAATGGCTTAACTGCAGGTCTTATTCTGCTTTCAGTTAAAATTTTTAAATATTCAAACTCATGTTCCTTACCGCCTTTGTTTACTCTTGTTTTTAAGGAAGACTGGGCGTGTTGAAGACTCAGACCTGGCACACATATAAACTACAGGTGTGACAAATTATTTTGGGTGGAAGGGTAAGAGCCCAAAGTTAGAGCATTTCCTGGGGCAAGAGAATTTAAAGATAAGAAGATGGAGAACAGGGCAGGAACAGGGTCATGAGTGGGCATTTGGACGTGGTGACAGTCATTTAAAGAAGACAGAAGCAGAAAGTCACTGGTGGCCAAGTGTGGGGTGGATGGGAGAGGAGAGAAATGTGAGATGGCCAGCAGGTCAGCTAGTAGCTGGCTGTAATTGTTCTGGGGGGTGGCAAGGATGAGAAGATATGTCAATCATGTATATGTAGAGAAGCTTGATGTATAATATAAAGGAACTATGATATTATTCCTTTTTTAAAAAAGGAATTAAAAACCTTTGTTCTTAAAACCGTCACTTTCCTAAGTTATTGTGTAAATTTGGCTTGTTTGAGAGCAGGGCACATTTTTATGGATTTCAAGGGAGAAAGATATACATATGTTGTTCAAGGTTGAGCCAAATGCTGGTTTCTTCTCTAAAGGAAAGAGGGGAAAGAAGTCCTCCCTCTCCTCTTTACTCCCTGACAGAGAAGGAAAGGACAGCCTGTGCGCTCCCAGGTGGGGCTAGAAGGCCCACAGCATCATAAGTAGACTACTGCTGGCAACAGCAGTGCTTCTACAGCCCCCGGAGTTCCATGTTCTCCTTCTCTGCTGTGTGCTTGGCCCCATGCTGGACAGGAGACCAGTAAACAAGAAGCCTGTCCTTGAGGAAATTTCCAATCCAGAGAGGGGACGGTGCCAGCAGATAAGTAATTATAGCATAGAGGGAACTGTTATAAAAACTTAAGAGTGCGTAGAAGCCACTCTTTCTGGAGATGCCCTGGAATTGTCTGCAGATGTGAGCTGGGTTTTGAAGGGCACACAGAAATCACTTCCAAGAGAAAAGGAGTCGGGCATCCCGGGTACCCTGACGAGATGACACAGTGTCTAGATGATGCCATCTGGAGAGTCAGCAGCTCCCAAAGATCCTGGTCACTCCTGTTCCAGAAAGACAGTCTCCCCGGGTGTTTTCCCAGGTGACCTGACTGAGCTCCAGGTGAATAGGTTCTACTGCAGTGAGCTCTGTTTTCCCTCTTCAATTCTCAGTTCTTTTTCTTTCCATCCTGGTCTAAGGTTAGAGGTGAGACACACTAACTTTTTAGAGGTGCTTTCTCCCAGACCCCTGCTCAGTGAACATTCCAGTTCCTCAGCTGATTGCCTGATGTGCAGTCCTGACATGAGATATTATGACGTGTCATTGTTTTAGACCCATTCAGTTAGGATTTGGGATCATCTGGACTGGGTGGAATTTGATTCTTTATACACTGTGAACAAAGAAGTTTGCCAAATAAATTAATGCTCTGTTAAATAAGATTCCAAGAAGGATACCTAATGTAATTATGTAGAAAGTAAAGTGTTTGAGTTTTCTTTATTTTTTAATCAGGTTCCAGCATACTTTAAAAAAATGAATCTTGTCAATTCATGAAAGCAGCCCTAGTAGGAGTTTTAATTGTTAATTTTTTAAAGCAAATAAGACATGAACACATTCTCATTTTTATAAAAAGCGAACAAACCAGAACTAAAACAAAAAGTACATGTCTCATTTTGCCAACTAAATGTTTGTAGCTACCTTTTCCTTTGCATATACACACATTTAATGACATATAGTTTTGTTTTGCACTTTTGTAAAATAGGATCAGCCTAATCTGTAACTAGCTCTCATCTTACAGTATTCTAAGATGAGTGTCCTATGACCATGAACATATGTCTACTTCATTCTTTTGGACAGCTGTATAATGTTCCATATTATAGCTGTACTATGATTTACTTATTCATCTCCCTGATGGTGGATATTTAGATGATTTGCATTCTTTGTCAGAACAAAGCATTAGTATCTGTCTTTATTCAAATCTTTGTGTCTGTGCACAATTTCTTCCAATAGGATTTCTATTGAATTCTTGGTTAGCAGTTGGAGTCAATGTTTATTTATACTTGGAGATAACAAAAGTATTTTTCTTAGAAATACTCAATTTTTCCTGCAAATTATGCTGCCTTTTCTATAAATAGTTAGGCTTGTGACATCCTTTGTGGAGCATTCCATGGAGCCACTGTATGGGATGGTGTCAGCAATTTTATTATAAACTCTTGCCAAAGGCAGTGTCAGAAATGAGCCTTCATAGCACAGAAGTAGAAATTAGTTCTTGATTCTTTTTTCTCCTTCCTGTCCTGACACAAGATTATAGAGATTCTACAGAGTGGCTTATATAGTATAGTCATTTAAGCAGCTCTGGGAAAGCATGAATGCATTCTTACTTTTTAAAAATAAGATGGAATTAGGATATGGGATCTGGAAGAGAGGGATGGCCCTCCCTTAATTTAATAAAAACAATCTGAGAAAACAGGAGCCCCTCAGATCTTTTATTGTTTGTTTCTTGTTTCCTCTGCCTATGTATTTCTCTGTCTCTCTCCTTTCTCTTTCTGTGTGAATTGTAACATTGCTCTCTGTGGCTGTTGCCCAGAGTAAAGCAGTGGAGAAATTTGTGACTGCATATAGCAACTATTTGGTACCTCTGATACAAAGGAGAGGAAAGTAATGGGGGCACACTTTGGCTGCCACATCTCTACTCTTGCAGCCCCCGAAGGGGATTTTTATGGGATCTCAACGCCAAACCCTTCCAGTGAAATGACCTCGCCAATATTGAAATGTGATTTGTGTTTTCCTCCCAAGATCTAACATATAGTTCAAAGATAGATAGAAAAATTCTTATCTTCTTGTTTCTGTTCTTTTTTCTATCTAATCTTAAAGCTTAAGTAAAAACAAGAAATGATCTAAATCAGAGTTATCAGACCAGTAAGATGTCTGGGAAAAAGAGAAAGATCTTCTGAGTAAAAAGGCAGGAGAAGGATTTCCCTGGTGGTCCAGTGCTTCCAATCCTGGGGGTGTGGGTTCAGTCTCTAGTCAGGGAACTAAGATCCCACATTCAACAAGGCCTGAAAAAGACAGCAGGTCCAAATATCCATCAATAGGGTTGGGCTAGGTGGTGCTTGTGGTAAAGAACCCACCTGCCAGTACAGGAGACAAGAGATGAGGGTTTGATCCCTGGATTGGGAAGATCCCTTGGAGGAGGGCATGGCATCCCACTCCACTATTCTTGCCTGGAGAATCCCATGGACAGAGGAGCCTGGCAGGCTACAGTCCATAGGGTCACAAAGAGTCAGACATGACTAAAGCAACTTATTACCCACACAAGTGCACTTTGGTTCATCCAACTTGTGTAAAATAGAATGAGAATGCTCTCTTTCTGTCAATGTATCCATAGAAAGATCTCCAGGATATTACTGTTAGGTGAAAAAAACAAGATGCAGTAAGTGTGTAGAATATGTAAGTATTTTTTTAAGAAAAGGGGAAAACAGGAATGTTTATTTGTATTTACTAGTATTTGCATAAGGAAACTGAAGGTTACACAAGCAATGAGGAAGACTGTTCATGGACTGCCTCTTTAAAGTGTCCTAATTTTTGAATCAGGACTGTATTACCTATTCAGAAATAAAAATAAATTTTTAAAAGGAAATTCTGCATTGTTAGCAAAGATCTTGTTTAAACCCACTGTATATGTGATTTTACTTCTCACAGGTACCTTTTAGGGTAGGGTCAGTTGCAGGACCATGTATTTTGAGGAGAAAGGGAATAATCTATAATTATAACATATACGGCAATTTAAATTCTAACTGTTTTGGTAGGAAATTGAAACCATAGATTTGCATCTAAACTGTTTCTTTAGCTTGTTCAGACTTCTTGGATTTGTTCTTAATTTTTTTCTTCAAAGTAATTGAAAACTTTACAACAAGATGCTCTTTTTTCATTTTTTAATTTTTATTTTACAATATTACATTAGTTTCAGGTGTACAGCATAGTGATTCAGTTTTTTTGTGTGAGGTTTTTTTTCAGATTATATTCCATTGTAGCTTATTACAAGTTGTCAGGTATGATTCCCTGTGCTATACAGTAGAACATTATATAATGATAAAGGGATTAAAACAAGAAGAGGATATATGTTTATTAACATATATGCTCCCAATATCGGATCACCTAAATATGTAAAGCAAATACCAGCAGACTTAAAGGGCAAAATTGATGATTAGCTTAAAACAAGATGTTCTTGATTCACAATCAAAATCCCTTGCTGAGGCCTTGGTGAACACAGTGAGAAAGTGTGGTATTAAACCTGTTTGTTGTGTCTGTGTTTTTATTTTTTACAGGAGCAGGAAAATTCAGATTCGAAACATCCCTCCTCACCTGCAGTGGGAGGTAGGCCATGTCATTTCTGTATTTATTATCTTCCTGCTCTCTGTCTCCTTTTCCTAATAGAGTAACAGGGCATTTGTCCTTTTTATAGTTCCCTTTCACGTTTAGGAATTAGAGGTCCCAGACTTTGCCTTCTTCAGCACCCCAGTGGGAATGACCGGCCCTGAGTTTGTGGTCAGAGTCATCCCTTTCGTTGTGCTGGATATACACTTTGATCCCTTATGTTCTGTCTCCTCAGGAACCAGGCACTAACAGACAAACCAAACAAAATAAATGCCTTGCTTGTGATTTTTATCCCATGATTTTATAAAAAATTCTTACCTTTCTAAGTTATGATTTGGGAGGAAATAAATGGAAAATCAATAAGAATAGAAGGTTCTCTGTTAGTTTGGGCAAGTGTTTTGTTTATTTTTAATTAGTTGTGGATAACAGTTAAGACATTTTCAGAGTTGTAAAACTTCTTAACAAGATTGTTACCTTGAAATAAGATAGAATATGAGGAGTAGCCTTATTGCCTCATTTAAAGGCACACTGTCCCATGTTCCCCAGCTCAAATAGAATCAAAATAGACTTAAAGGAAATAGAATGTTTTGGCTAACATTTTTGTTACTTTAAGGGAAAAAAAAAACACCACTTTTTACTGCAGAAAATTTTGAGCATATACATCTCTCATTGCTTCATAAAATAAGGAGATCCCTAAAGGAAAACTGATGGAAGAATGGTTAAATCTTTCAGAAAGGAGAAGTGCTTTTTGTGCATTAGTCTGCTTCTCAATTCAAAAGCAAATGGGCTCCAACCATCATGAATGTGATTGTTAACAATCACTAAGAAAACTCTGCTGTGTTTCCTTAGTAAACAGACTCCTCGGGAGCCAATAAGCAAATGAAAGCACTGTATATCTATTCACTTCTAGCCGTTTTTTATGAAGACCTGAAATTCTGACGTGAAGCTTCTTTTTCAGGTGTTGGATGGACTTTTGGCTCAGTGTGGGACAGTGGAGAACGTGGAGCAAGGTAATAAGTGCCGAAATTAGCCTGTTGACTTTTGAGAAGAATATTGCCTGTTATTTCTTATAGGTTGGGTCAAATCCAAGGACAAAGAACAAGTTTAAATTCCACTGAAGCAAGCTTCCTAGAGTGTATGTTTGTATATCTGTATGTATGTAAGAAATGTCCATATCTGTCTATCCATATCTATTTTTTCAAAGAATGGTTTTCAGACTATTTTTCTTATACTCTGTAATGTACTCAAGCACTGGACAAATTGCTGTCAGAATGGGGGAAGCTTAATTCATTTGGAAGTAACTGTATTTATACTGTGACAGCTTTCCTCTTCCTGGTTAAGAACAACATATCCCTAATGTCTTGGACTGTTTCTCAAGGTGTAGGACTCCTACACCATTATCGCCTGGAGCGCTTGGGAAAATGCAGTTTCCTGGGGCTCACCATAGACAGCTTTACAAAGTAAGACTCTGTGGGGGAAGAAGTCATGAAACAAACTGTATTTCCTGGGGCTCACCATAGACAGCTTTACAAAGTAAGACTCTGTGGGGGAAGAAGTCATGAAACAAACTGTATTTTAAACAGTCACTTCCAAATGATTTTTGTGTGTATTCATTTGTTAGCCTCTGTCTTGGGAACAGTGTTGTAAATCCCCAGAAAATGTATATTCTTTTTCCTGCCACTTTATTTTTACCTTCTGAAACATTTACCTTTACAGACAGTGAGTGAAGTCATACATAACTGTTAATATTCACTTAGGGAAAAAAATCACAGAAAATGCATTTTCTCATATGCAGTCTGTCTGCTAGTATAGTTAATATAATAGTTTTTAAAGCAGTAATTATTAGATGCTGCTTTATAAGGATTCTATTTTCTCAGTTCTTGTTATGTCCCTCAAATGGAAGACATTCTAGTAAGAGTTGGATGTCGTAGGCAAGATGGCTTTCCAGACATGAACCTCTACAAGTTACTAGCTAAGACCCTGTTATAAACTCAGGACAGTGCCATGCAAGGAAGAAATACTGCAGGTCCCTGGGGCCGTCCACAGCTCCAGGAGCACCTGTGCCATTGAGAGCACCCAGTTTCTAGCTGCCTCATGACTGTAGGGTGGAAGTGTTGGGCTGTTGTTTTGTTCTGTTTCATAGGTAATTCCTGATTCAGCAGGAAAACATTCTGCAGGAGAATTTTAAGAATCTTTATAGAGCTTTCATGTCCAGTGAATTAAAGTATTTGAATAGAGTTTTCAGTTCCTCCCAGAATCACAGGTCTGATTTCCTGAAGACAGATGTCTTTGAAGAACAAATATAAACACGAATGAATCTGAGACTTTTAGTGGGTAGCTTTATTCAGGAGGTTCAAACAGCCCCTTCTTCCTTTTTGGGTCTACAGCCTCATCTGTTGCACTCCAAAATGTAACTCTGAGACAGTAGCATTCACTGTGTCAGCACTGAGAGAGGCTGGTTGTGGGTGCACATGCCCTATTCTGCACTGAGAGGCGCAGTCCTGTGAGCACCTCTCTGTATTAGAGAGCAGCACAAACACGCCGAGGCCGAGGCCAGGACTGGGTTCAGTGTTGGTGACCCATATGTCTCAATGGCAGTTCCTTCCTGAGGAGTATGCATCCGTCCCCATAAGGGCTGCAGCTACTTTGAAGTTATTGGATAACAGTGACCTTTAACCTTTTTGGAAATCATATGGAAATTATAAGACAGAAAAATCCACGTCCCCACAGATTTGAATATTTGCAGGGAAGTGGAGAGGGTGAGTATAGAATTCCTGAAGCTCTAACATAGGTTCAAAATTAAGAATCCTTGCACTAGAGGGTTTTATTATTACTTTGAAAAGCAGCTCTAGTGTGGTTTTCTTGAATTATGCTCTGCTTAATGCTGTTAATTCCAAGTCTCCTAATAGCTTAAGTGTTTTAATGGGAAAAATTTTGATTTGGTCATGTCTGTTGGTTTTGGGGAAATCAGTATATTTTTGGTCTAAGTTTACTGACTTGGATGGAGAAAGTTTTGTCCTGCCTTTTGAATTCATTTTTAACACCTAACTTGGGAAGAAGATGCATCAGTTATTAATCAAGAAATCCAACTCACAAGAGTGATACCTTGTTAGCCACTCTTAGAGTTTATATGTTCTCCTCTTTAGCCAAGTGGGTTGGGATTGCCAGTTTTCTTTATTCATTGTACACGGTTACTAGATTTAACTCACACAGTCGAGTTCAGTCAAGGCGGAACAAATATTGTAATAGTTCAACCTTATCCATGAACGAACAATTAAAATACTTTCTTATTATTTTATACATATATCCAATTATTTAAAAACTATAGCAGATAAAACTGATAGTGGTACAGTAAATTAATATGAGCTTCTAGGAGATTAATTTGAAAATAATCATTAAAAAGCATTATGTTCTTTTTACCTAATTATTTTTCTTTTAAATGACACTAAAAATAAGAAATTCAGAAGAACACAAATCAAGTGGTATTTGCAACAGTGGTGATTTTTATCAGCAGTCTTCAGAGTAGCAAATACTGAGAACAACCATTTGTCAACAATTAAGAAATGGTTAGGCAAAAATCATGGCCCATTTGCTTGCTGCAATTTTATGTAGACATTAAAAATGAAAAATCCAAAGAAACTGTGCATATACATATACACATGCAGAAGTGTTGATAAAATAAGTGAAAAATATAGCTTTGAGTTATATATACAGTTGATTACAAATGTGTATATACAATTGATTATAAATTACTATGAGTGCACATGAATATAGAAATTCAAATAACTCTTAAGAGTTTGAACAATGAAATTTTTGTGCGTTTTTCTCTAGGTCTATTTACAGTGAGCCAGAGGGCTACAGCTTTTTTTTTTTTCTATGACAATGTAGTTTTTGCTTCTTTCCTAGTCAACACAGACACAGAAACTGCCGTTGTCAACGTCACATATGCAACAAGAGAAGAAGCTAAAACGTAAGTGGATTTAGCTTATTTCCCTTTAAATCTGGGCTGGGGAATGCCGGGGGAGCTTGTCTCTGGATTCCATTGAATCCTGTGTTTATAAACCTTTTCTGAAAAGATGTAGATCTTTGACACATCAGTAGTAGTAGTGTAGTTGCTGAGTCATGTCCAACTCCATGTGACCCAATGGACTGTAGCCCACCAGGCTCCTCTGTCCATGGGATTCTCCAGGCAAGAATACTGGAGTGGATTGCCATTCCCTTCTCCAGGGGATCTTCCCAACCCAGGGATTGAAGCCAGGTCTCTCACATTGCAGGTGGATTCTTTACCATCTGAGCCACCAGGGAATGCAGATCTTTGACACATCCATAGAGCACCAGGGAATTTACACCAGGGTATCTGTTTGTTGACTGTACAGAGACTTTTATCTTGAAAAATGTTGAGCCTTGGCATCAAAACCAAGGTGAGAGCTGTATATTGAAACAGGAGTAAAGGACACCACGTCTCTGACGCTGTGTCCCCTAGAGTCTGCTTTGACAACCACTGGAAGCCACTTCACCTGGAGCTTTCTCCATGCACCATGAGGAAGAAGCCCAAGCCTGTTTCTGTCCACACTCATTGGATGAATGCTGAAACTTCCTATTCCCTCTATGAATATTAGAGGGGGGGGCGGTTCACATCTGTGACATCAGCCCAAGGGAGCATTGTCATCTTGGAGTGGCTCATCAAAGAGTACCTGGCTCGGACTCTTCTTCCTATTCACATTCACCTCCTGACCCCACCCATGACGACATTGCTTCTGGGATGGTTAACTGTGAGCTTGGCTATTAACACACATAGGATTGAATATTTTAAAAACAACAACAAAAACAAGTTCCTTTTTGTAGAAGGCCCATGAAGTGCCTGTCAGGTCATCATAACTAGAATTATGGACACATGTGGTCATGCTTTATGGAGGTGGCATAATATTCATATTGGTTATACATACCAGAATTAGTGGTTTTTTTTCAAGGTTTCCACATCCATGAATGCGTATTTAACCCATTCTCGTACCACTAGTTTTCAAAATGTTAATTTTGCATCTAACAAGGCAATAGTCATTTGCTGTTGACTTTTTAAACATTTTTAAAATTTATTTTATATATTCTTTTGGCTGTGCGAGGTCTTCATTGCTGCACAATTTTTTTTCCTCTGGTTGTGGCAAGTGGGGGCTGCTTTATAGTTGTGGTGTGCCAGCTTCTTTTTGCAGTGGCTTCTCTTGTTGCAGAGCACAGACTCTAGGGCACTCAAGCTTTAGTAGGTGCAGCTCCCAGGCTGTAAATCACAGGTTCAGTAGTTGTGGTGCATGGGCTTAGTTGCACTGCAGCATGTGGATCTTCCCCGATCAGGGCTCAAACCCATGTCTCCTGCATTGGGAGTGTGTGTGTGTGTGTGTATAAATAAAACAATAGGTAATATGTTGCAAAAATGATGGCAAATCAATAGAATGTTAACCAGTAAAAATTAAATTTCAGAATATTTAATCACTTAGAAGACTAGAGTATTAACTATTTTTAAGGATTATAAAGTAGTATGTTTGATATTAATCCATTTGTATAAATAATAATATATTTAAGAAAGACATAGGATGGACTAGGATGTTTTTCTCATTTGTGCTTATCTACTACTGGATTTTCAGTAATAACTATTACAATTAAAATTTTTGAGTCAATTTTATGCCGATATTTACAGAGTTTTTGATACAGCCTTAAGTGGTTAAAAAAGAAAACAGAACAACACATTGTATATCAGACCAGACCTATACTTGGTGATTACTTGTTAACCACCCTCTGTGAAAGAGCAGAGATGGCGTGTGTTTTGCTCACAGCTGCGTCCTCAGTGCTGAGGACGGCATTCTCGTAGGCAATTAGTAAAGGAGAGTGAATGAACTGGTCCACTGACCCTGGCATTGTGGGTCTCTAACAAAGCTCACTTCCCCTGCTGCATTTCAGAGCCATCGAGAAGCTAAGCGGGCATCAGTTTGAGAACTACTCCTTCAAGATTTCCTACATCCCGGATGAAGAGGTGAGCTCCCCTTCGCCCCCTCAGCGAGCCCAGCGTGGGGACCACTCTTCCCGGGAGCAAGGCCATGCCCCTGGGGGCTCTTCTCAGGCCAGACAGATTGATTTCCCGCTGCGGATCCTGGTCCCCACCCAGTTTGTTGGTGCCATCATCGGAAAGGAGGGCTTGACCATAAAGAACATCACTAAGCAGACCCAGTCCCGGTACGTGCCTCCGGGGCTTCCTTTCCTTCCTTCTGAGGGGTCCCCTGAGTGCTGGTGGGTCCCGGCCGTTCCCAGGTTGCTATTGCTTGCATCAGCAGTGGGGGGGCTGTGCTGGATGGGACAGTGGCTTCTTTAAACAGAACTACTAACAGACTAACACAGAACCCAGGGGCCTTCATGAGCTTTCATGCCAATGTCCTAGAGGTCATACCTGAAACACTAATAATTCATAAAAAAGGTACTAATGACCTCACAGTCACGAATTGTTCTCCTAAGCTTTCTGATGCCTGTGAACACATCTACGTATTTGTAAAACAACAGAGGTATGGGGCTGAACTTTATGGGATCCTAGAACCCACTTACCTTAGCTCTCACCTCCTCTTCTGAGTCAGAGCCCAGGGTGATAGTCATTCTTAGAGACCACCTAGGGAGTCTCACAAACAGCTTCATAAAGGCAACGGGTGAGTCACTGTTACATTGAGCAAGAAATAAAGTACCTTATTAGCCGTATGTTTAGTTCTCTGTCTGCTTAAGGAGACTGACTCCATAGTAGGAGTTGTAGTGGGTAAAGTAACTTGTGAGGTTGTTGATTTTTGTATGTTCCTAAGACCGCAGCGTGATAAAATGAACAAAGCACAGCACTTGAAAACAAAGACCCTTGTCCAAGTTTTCCCACTTAATGGCTGTATAAGCTTAGAAAAAATTTTAAGCTTTCTGAGCATCAAAAGCTTCTATAATCTAGGAGTAGTGTGAGAATTAGGACAGTCAGATTGAATGAAATAATTATTGTGAAAGCACTTAAATTACAAAGCACCAAATTGCAAGTATTAGTTATTTACATTCCTAATGCATTTTACTCAGGTCATCGAGGGTTTTATAACCTGAAAGACAAAAAACTGTTTTCTTCAAAGTGTCTGAGTTATTTCCAAAAAATGGGCAATTACATGAATCCCAGAGTTTATAATCATAGGAGTGAAGTGATAAGATAGTAGTCAGAGGAAATACTATGTGATGTTTCTTTTGTTTTAAAATCAGTCCCCTTTTATCCCTGTAAGTCTACTTCCCTGAGAAAGTGATTTTTATTTGTATGTCTTTTTGTTCCAAATATTATTTGAAGTGGCTTTATAAATGTAGCAAGTTTAAATAGAAGCTAAGTTAATTCTCAAAGTGTGTACCTACTTTTTTAGAAATAGGCCCCAAGCTTGGATTTGGGCTTTCTAACAACCAAAGTAAAAGGGGATACAATCAATTACGTGATTCTGAAAGTTAACAAAAACAAATAGAGCCACAACTACCCAAAGAAGTCTGATAAAGTCATCAAGCTTTGGAGCCATTAGTTTAAGAGACTGGAAGAAGGCAGGCTGCCAGTGGCAAGGAAACCAAAAACTTAGGCAGAGAAAGGGCATGCCTCTGTTTTCTATCCACACTCAAATATATAAAGCTTGCTTGAATTTGGTGTTTAGAGTTGGATTAACATATGGCTTTTAAAAGCTGCAATCAGTTCAGAGACTGGCACTGTGCCAACGTGCAGTATTATCCTGCTCACTTTTAAGATCATTTGAAAGACTACACAAAATACTTCATTTACCAAACTGGCTTCATTTACCACATTGGCTTGGTGCCTTTGTCCAATAGCACTCCTGTAAGAAATATTCCTTTCTAAGTGGAGCTGCAGAGAATTCAGGTTTGGCCCAAGACCTTCTGCACTGCTTGCTGCCTTCTTGGAGAATGGCATTGGTTGCAAACGTGCTAATGACACTTATTGTCTGTCTGTGTCCTTGCTGTACATTGGCCAGTGCAACACTTTCTGGGACTAGGATCCAGTGCCAGATGACGTTGTGCTATGGCTCCTGATTCTTTTCCTGCAGGGTAGACATCCATAGAAAGGAGAACTCTGGGGCCGCAGAGAAGCCCGTCACCATCCATGCCACCCCAGAGGGAACCTCTGAAGCATGCCGCATGATTCTTGAAATCATGCAGAAAGAGGCTGATGAGACCAAACTGTAAGTTTGCATGCAATGCACAGACCGCTCAACAGAAAAGAAGATTAGTTTCTCATTCATTTAACCCAGGAAAGCTTTCAAAGAGCTGTAAATTTATTTCTCAGTTAAAGGGAGCGGGGGAAGGATTAATTTTCAGGTATTTGTTCCATAGAGACTACAATGGGAGATAGATCTTTTATGTTTACAATGTGGCTGTTTCTCTACTTGCATGTTTCTCTTGGTGATCCTAATGCTTCCATCACTCACTGGCAATAATTATTGATGGGAATATAACCATGTTGTCCAATGTGTGTGCTAATGGAAATGTTCTATATTTGCACTGTTCACTATAATAACCACTAGCCAAGTGTTGCTGGTGAGTGCTTGAAATGTGACAAGTGCAGTGGAGGTACTGAATATTTTAACTTGATCCATTCAGATTTAAGTAGTCACATGTATGGCTAGTGGCCATCATATTGGACGGGGCAGATTCAGAAAGTACATTTGCATCAAAAGGGTTTTGCTTCTAAGCCCCTTGGACTCTTAAGCTTGGATTATGTTTCCTTAAATAGTAGAAACTGGTATCTGAGTGGCTATTTTATTCTTCTTTTTTCTTGAATCTCCTCCTGTCCATTTCTTTCACAAAATATTGCTTAGGATTCCTGTTGTACAATTTGAATGACAAATACAGTTCATAGTAACTTGTATAATTTAGTAATACAAATATATTAATTTGTATTATAAACAAATTAATGATAATAGAATAGATAATAAAAAAGGCTCTATGTACATCTGGCAAAATCTACTTATAGGCATGTATTGTGGCAGTTTTATAAGGAAACAGTGAGGGATGAACTGAATATAAAACTAATTTATATTCAAACAGTGTCAAATAATGTGTTCCAAAACCAAGGAGATGAGAGTAGTTCTTAAAAGAAAAAGATTGCAAAGTCTTAGGCTTCATGAGGAACTCTTAACATTTTATTTATGAATTACTTACTATTTGGGACTTTTGGAATCCCCCAAGTGCTGTGACTTAATTTAAAGAAGACCCTCTCTCATCCAAGTTATTGAGAACTTTATTAATGTTACCCTCCTTGGTCCTTTGAATTAGGTGTCATCATCTTAACAATATTTAAAAGAATCAAAAAGACTGCTATATAAATTGGATTTTTGAAGTATTTATGTAGAGCCAAGATAGAGTTTGAATATCTTTGAAATGTGATTTTTTTTTTTAATGAGGCATTATGCTGAGTACTGTGCTAGGGGCTGAGGCTACAACTCTGAACAAGATCCAGTTCCTTTTTTTTATTTATCCAGTGTGAGACATCTGCTAAACAAACAATTACAGCAGTAAGTAATTAAGTACAGCTATGATAAGTGCTACAGTGGAAAACAACTGCAGGTAACTGGAGGCTCTAATCAAGGCTTCAGAGAGACAAAGAGATTTACGGATTTCAGAGAAGGCCTTCCTGTATAAGTGACATTTCAGCCGAGCCCTGAGGAAGATGAGCAGGAGGTGGAGGATGGAGGTGAAGAGGGATCCTAAACTTTCCTTTTATTCATTTATGTGCATGTTCGGTCTTATCTGACTCTTTGCAACCCCGTGCATGGCCTATAGCCTGCCAGCCTCCTCCCTGTTCATGAGATTTTTTTCAGTAGGCATACTGGAGCAGGTTGCCATTTCCTCCTCCAGAGGATCTTCCTGACCCAGAGATTGAACCCACTTCTGCATTGCAGCCAGATTCCTTACCACTTAGCCATTCATTTACCAAATATTTATTGAGTACATACTATGTGCCAGGCACTGTTCTGTGTCCCAGTGAACAAAGCTGACAAAAAATCCTGCCCTCTGTAAGTCACATTCTAATGGAGCTTCTTCAAGCATCCCTTTATTTTGAGGCTGTTGTAGTGCATCTATTAGATGTTTTTGGTCTCAAGTAACAGAAAATGTAACAAATGGCTTAAGTAATAAGAAGCAGTTTTGATGTCACATAATTAGAAGTCCTTACTATGTGAGAATGACCGCAGGGTCAGTTGAATCATAGACCCAAAGGCCCATGACTTTTCTTTCTGTTCTACTTTTTTCAGTGTATCTGATATGCCTTTTCTTTTATCAGTTGAGGTGATCATGTGGGTTTTGTCCTTCATTCTGTTAATATAGTATATTAATTTTTGTATGTTTAAACATCTTTTCATTTCAACTTAAAAGACTCCCTTTAACATTTCTGATAGAACTGGTCTAGGAGTAATGAACTCCTCGCATCTTTTATCTGGAAAAGTCTTAATTTTCCTATCATTTTCAAAGACAGTTTTGCTAGATACAGTATTCTTGGTTGATAGCTTTTTTCTTTCTGTGCTTTGAGTATGTCATCCCATTCCCTTCTGTCCTGCAGATTTCTGCTTAGAAATCCATCTGTAATCTTATGGAAACTTTCTTGTATGTTACTAATCACTTTCCTCATGATGTTTTCAAGATTTTCTCTTTGAGTTTAGACACCTGGGTTATAATGTGTTTCAGTGTGATTCTCTTTTGGTTTATCCCAGGTGGATATTCTTGGAGCTTCTTAAATCTGTATGTCAATTTTTTCCCTCAGATTTGAAAAGTTTTCTGCCTATTTTATTTGAATAAGCTCTCTCCCTTGTCTCTTTCTCTATCCTTCTGTGATTCCAATGACATGTTTCTTGATTGATTTGATAGTGTTCCATAAGCCCATTATCCTGTCTCTACTTTTTTTAAAATTCTTTTTTCTCCCTTCTGTTGATGATTTCACATGACTGATATTCAAGTTTTCTGAGTCTGTCTTCTGCCTGATCATATCTGCTTTTGAATTCCTTTAATATTTCAGTTATATTTTTCAGCTCTATTATTTCTGTTAGGTTGTTTTTAAATTTCTTTTTCTTTGTTGATATTCTCACTTTGTTCATACATCACCTTCCTGATTTCATTTAGTTGTTTGTATTCTCATTTAGGTCATTGAGCATCTCTGTGATCATTATTTTAAAGTCTGTCAAGTAGCTCATAGATCTGCATTTATTTAGGGTCAGTTTCTGGAGTTTTATTTTGAGCCTTTGATTAGACCATGTTTCTATTTCTTTCTATGGCTTATAATTTTTTTGCTGGAATTTGGGCATCATAAAAAGCAATCACCTCTCAGAATCTTTGCATACTGGCTTTGTTCAGGGGAAGACCTTCACTATTCAGCCTGGCTGGAGGTTTTAGGACCTCTGAAACCATTTCTGATTTCTTTCTCCTCCTGGCTTCTGACTGTGGAGCTGCAGCTCTGACATACTATACACCTCTGTTTTCAGCAGCTTCCAGACTTGGGCACCAGGCTTGGCAGCTCCCTAAGTTAGGAGAGACAGAAACCTATCTCTCAGGCAGCCCCCAGGCAAGCCAGAATGTTGGACTCATTGTCCAGTCTTTTGTTTCTGTCCCAGGGGAGGGGCCTTGGTGTGGAGGATTTCCTCCCAGTTTCCCCTTGCTATGGTGTGTAGGGGAAGGAGCATGAAAGGCATGCCAAATGCCACAGAACTTCTTAGTCCTTTTGCTAGAATCCCTTTTCAGTTTTATAAAATCCTGGGTGGTATAGCTTCTCCCCTGATCTCTAGAGTTCTCAGAGAAAGATTTTAGCCTATCTTTTGTTGTCAACTTGGTGTCTCTGTAGGGATCGGAGGGCCTGTTGTTCCTAGTCTACCATCTGACTGATGTCATTATCCCTTGTGCTTTTTTTACGAGCGAGGAAAACCTTCCTAAAGCCACCCTACAGACCTCTTCTGATACCTCATTGGCCAGTCTCTCTCATGGACCCATTTCCAACCAGTCACAACAAGGGAGTAAAATTAACATGATTTTGGCTTGTGTTAATCAGAATTCATGCACTAGAGTTAGTGAGAAACCTAGCTTCTCCTAAAGCCCATGGCCACTTGGTAGCTGAAGAAAAACAGCTTCTATTTGTAAGAAATAAGGAGGGTGATAGCTCTTAATCCCATGGACAGAGAAACCTGGCGGGCTACAGTCTATGGGATTGCAAAAGAGTTGGACATGACTTAGCTACTAAACAACAGCAATAGCTCTTAAGTCAACCATTGTGTTCAACTTAAATGTCAAATTATTGCGTGTCTCTTGTAGAGCTGAAGAGATTCCTCTGAAGATCTTGGCCCACAATGGCTTGGTTGGAAGACTGATTGGAAAAGAAGGCAGAAATTTGAAGAAGATTGAACATGAGACAGGGACCAAGATAACAATCTCATCGTAAGCCACTTGTTCCAATTAACTGTGCCCAGTAATGGAGAATGTGAGCATTTTGATATGTCCAGCTCGTTCATCTGCTTTTCTTTAAAATGGGAATGTAATTGTAAGATAATCATATAATTATCTTCAGCACTGTCAAAACAAATGCATAAGTAGTTCCCAATCAAACCTTCTCTACTGATATCATCTAAGTCACTGCAAAGATTTGAGATAAGATGGCCAATGTTCTGTGCCACAGTGTGAGGTGAGGGTATCCATCTTGTCCCTGCCTCTTCCACCAAGACTTGAGTGTGACCCTTCTGAGATTTTATTTTTCCTTTTGAAAAAAGGAAATTTTTCTCTTTTTCCTGGTGGCCAGCTTGCAGGATTTGAGCATATACAACCCTGAAAGAACCATCACTGTGAAGGGCACAGTTGAGGCCTGTGCCAATGCCGAAATAGAGATTATGAAGAAGCTGCGTGAGGCCTTTGAAAATGATATGCTGGCTGTTAATGTAAGTGCTGACTGCTTTCTTCTCCACTGGTTTTCACATGTGTTGTCAGGCAGGACCCAAGCCTCTCCAAGAATAATTGTCATTCAGAAAGTGAAGAAGCACTTTAGAATAGGAATACAGAGTTATGCCTTTCTTCTTGGGGGCAAGGGCATTAGAATAAGCAGGAGACGAACTAGTAAAATACACTAAGTACACGTGACAGAATAGTGTGAAGTCATTAAAATCACAGCTTGGAAGATTTTTAAATCAGAAATTGCTTATGATATATTGTTAATTAAGAAAAGAATATATTAATATAAAAGTATATATAACTAGGGTTTTAATTATATAAAATAATATGAGTCAAAATGACTAGAAGGCTGCATATAAAAATCAAGACAGCTGTTATGTTAGAAAAGTGAGATTTTTTTCCCCCTGCTACTTTCCAGTTTTAAAAAAACTTCTGATTTTCATCTCTCACTGATCTGTCCTTTCAGATTGTCCAATAAATGTTGTCATCCACCTCGACTCTAATAATTCTAGCAGACTGATTTGGGTTTGTCCTTCCTGTTATTACTACCTGGTTCCAACTTTATAATGGGGAGACACCATCCTGAAATTCATTCAGGAATCTTAAAAATATTTGTCTTTTTAATAAAAAGCACAAACTCAGCTCAGAGGAGTAAATTTTTTCATTTTTTTATGATAATGATTTTTTTTTAACATATATAAGACAGGAAAGGATACTATGATAAACTCTCATATGCCCGTAATCTAGCTTCAGCAGTTATCCGTTCATGGCCTGTTTTGCTTCATTTGAACCTTCATCCACGTCCCCACTCCCACTGGGATGACTTGGAAGAAAATCCCAGACTTTGTAGCATTTCACAGAGGACTCAATGTCGAGAAAGGACTGGGTGGGTGAAACACAGCCCCAGTCCCCTCGCATAGCACTTGCCATAGGACCTCCTTACTCAGGTCAGTACTCCCTTCCCACCTCACCCCAAGTCCCACCTTAGCGGACCACATGATAATTACGGGGCATGGTGAGCATGGTGAGGAGAAGACTGCAGTGTGACCTTCCCTCCCCCTCCATTTGTGTGTATTTGTCTGTCAAAGTATCGTCCACTGATCTCATTTTCTTCTCTGGGGATCTTGATATCTTATGGTAAACCCTTTCTGTGAACACCCAGAAATGCTGCAGAGGCTCTGGGTGTTCCAAACATCTTCCTCTGAGCATGTGTATCACTTAGGTTCATCCACGTCTGTGCTGAAGTCATGGATTGATAGGTGAATAACAAAATTACTAGATCTCACGCATGAATGGGATAAAGGCTAAGATCCTAACTCTCCCATCCCAGACATTCTAAAAGAAGGCAAGTTACTGGGTGACCCTAGAGCCACAGATGAGCAAAGAGAAAATGTTAGAGATTTGCTCGGTGATTGGGGAGGCAGTGGTAGGACAGGTGGGTTACAGACCAGGGTGGGAGATACATCATCCTCTGCCTCTAAAGGGCAGCCTGTGTGAGCACCCCCGTGTTTAAATGTGAAGTGAGCAAGTGAGATGATCACGAAACTGGCAGCTAAATGGTAAACAAGCCAAAGTTGTGGACCATTCCAAACATGGATAAGAGTTTACACATGTGGCATCTTAATGAGGGGTCTGATCTTTCCCTGGATAGAGTTAGGAAGAACTATTCAGCCAACATGTTTTAATCATATTCATTCAGCAAATATTTATTGAGTACTTACTATGTACCAGGCACTGAGCTCACAGCACTGAACAAGACAGTTTCTGTCCATGAGGAAATTGTTGTCTGAAAGGCAGAGGCAACTACACAGGCCATTCAAATACTACGTGATGCCTGCTGTTTTAGGGGAACATGAGTGTGTTAGGAGAGCCCAGAAAGGGCACCTGAGCTAAGGCCTTTGGGATGAAAGAAGGTTCCTTGAGGAGGGGCCATCTAAGCTCCGGTGAAACCCACATGATGAGTAGGATGTAGCCAAGCGAGGATGGAGACGAAGCAACAGTTCTCACAAAGCAGACAATGTGTGCGGGGGATCCAGAGGAGAGAGAGGAGCAGGACTGGGGAGGGTGGGAGTGAAGGTTAGCAGGAGAGGCTGGCAAGGTGGCCTGGGTCCCCAGGAAGAGCCTCATGGCTGTGTTAAGATGTGCAGACACTCAAAGCAGCAGAGAAGCTTTGAAAGGAGCGCCACAGTCAGGTTGAGGTTTGGAGAGCCCGCTCCGGCCGCAGGGTGAGGAAGAGGTCCACGGGGCCTGTGTGAGCTGAGTAGGAGACACTGATGCCGTCCAGACAAGAGATGGAGGTTGACCCAGGCAAGCTGGGCCTCTCTGGTCTCCGCCCCTCAACTCTTTTTCCATTTTTATTCCCAGCAACAAGCCAGTCTGATCCCGGGGTTGAACCTCAGCGCACTTGGCATCTTTTCAACAGGATTTTCCGTGCTGCCTCCACCAACAGGGCCCCGAGGAGCTCCCCCCGCTCCCCCCTACCACCCTTTCGCTGTAAGTAGCTCAGCTTTCAGGGCTTTGCTCATGCTCCTCCAGGCAGCGGCATTTCTCTGCTGTGTTGAATCAGAGCCAAAGCTTTCATTTGGAGGCCATGCTCATAAGGGCTGAATTCAACAGTTCTTAGGACCTCTTCCTAATGGACAGATTAAAACCATCCTCTAAATATGTGCTCTTAAACATAGTATATATCATATCTGGGAAAGAAAGAGACTGCTAGCAAATTCATTAGCTAGAAGCCTGTTCAATGTAAAAAAAGATTTGTTAGCGCAAATAAGAAACTTCATGAGTGTTGTTCACTTACTAAAATATATTTTCGTACCTAGATGACTCATGTATAAAATTCTAACCTGGGTCTACGATTCAAGTGCATTATATTTTATTAATAATTTTTTAAAAGAAAATAGCACACACAGTGTTTATTCCTAGACACTTAGCACAATGCCTGGCATTTAGTAGATTCTCAGTAAGTATTTATTGTTTGAATCATAATTAATAGCAGAAGAAGAAACGTGAACTTTATGTGTTTTCTACTTGTCTCCATCCACAAGCATCATTCAAGATCAACATGTTACCAAATTAGGGCTCAGGATACTTGACAGCTTTTTTTTGTTTTAATTCACTCCTCATTCTCCACACATACTACTTATTGTTTAAGAAAACTAATTTTCTCCCAATGTTCATACTGTTTAAATGGGAAGAATCAGGTTGAAGAACATTACCATAACCACCTCTTTCTTTTGAGAGGTGGTCTCTGGTATAGCAGGCTTCACTCACAGTGTCAGAATTCTGAGTAACTCTTTGGGTTAGCTGTAGAGAGACAGGGTGAAGTCAGTGTGCTGTTTTGCCAACAAAAGACGGAAATGAACTGGCACCCACATCTTTAGTCACAGAATATGCACACTCTGTCATCATGTTTAGATACAGCTTTTCTTAGTCATTTTTAAATCTCTCCGTACCATTTCTTTAGAGTTATATACATTTTCTCTTAAGCTAAAGGATAACGCCCAATCTTAAGCTAAAGGATAGCGCCCAATATTGAGCCGTGTGTATGTGTGTGTGTGTGTGTGTCTGTCTGTCTGTCTTAGTGTCAGAGGGAGCTGGGAATATGGCAGGAGGGAATTGGCAGCTGTTACAGTCATGTAGGTACTCTAAGGAGGGAGAATAGTTTTGAGAAGTGTGTGTCCCCATCTTTGCTGAGATGTGAGAATGACTGAGCCCAGGACAGTGAACTGGCCTTTAGACACATGTCGTTTCTTGAAAGAAAGATTATAGGTACTGCTCCACCAATGATAACTTCAAAAGGCACACTACTCTGTCAACCTAAGTAGCATAAATAGTGGGAGAAAAAAAAAAGATGTAATACAGTAGAAAATTCTTTTAAAATGATCATCTAAAAGAGAACTCAGCAAATGACAGTCTGAGACCAGATCCAGCACATCACTTATTTTCGTGTATATGTACAACTATGAATGTTTATTAAACGCATTGTCTGTCTGCTTTTCTGCTGTGATGGCAGAGTTGAGTAGATGCAGTAGAGACCGTGAGATATGCAAAGCCTAAAATATTTATTTGGCTCTGTACAGAAAAGTTTGCAGATCCCTGAACTGAAAAACAAGAAGAGAACTTTTCATGTGATAGCAGAATATTTTCTAAACTTGAACATAGGTTTTGCTAGTTGGGAAGTTTCCTTTACATCCTTTACATCTGAGATTGTTTTACTAAAACAGTAGAATAATGAGTTTTACGAAAATAGTTTCTGTTCTCTATAAAACAGATTTTGAAGAAAATATTTTCAAGTTAAAAGCCATTGTAGTTCTGATCTTGAGCCCTTAGATCAAGATTAGCTTCTAATCTGAAGCACACAGTTGCCCCAACTCTGCAACGTACAGCTCCTGCAGACCTTTCTCTCTGGCAGCTACGGAAGACGGGAGAGCATAGAGGTGGCCATCGCTACCCTCCTGTGCAGGGTCCAGACCCTGAATTGGAGGCCTGAGGGCTTCCCAGGTGGACCCAGGCCTCCTGAGAAGGACAGGGTAGGGTGGAGTGGTGGGGAGCCTTCAAATACTTGTAAAATATTACTTCTTTTCTGTCACTTAGACATTCAAATTTCAAGAAATTAGGGTACTTCTTGGTTGCTTTTATACATCACAAACCTCTAGTGCTTTTGCTCTTAACATCCGAAGGTCAGGAGATCTGTGCACCTCTTTATAGGTGGCTCACACGTGCATGAATTGGGGGTACCAATGCTGGAAGCTTTTGATGTATGCATGTATATATGAAAATTACCATCTTTATTATTTTCTGGTTATAAAAGTAACACGTGCATAGTATTTAAGAAGCAAATGATACAAGTGCAAGTTTTTTCTTAATCTAGAAATAACTAGTGTATCTATGTGTATGGGTATATATACAATGTGTATATATACATATATATATAAAATAAAGTACATAGATGATACATATTCCAAATTGTCACTCTACAATGGAAATTCTTGTGTATATATATCATGATCATTTTATCCAGTTATTTTCTCAGAATAAATTCCTGGAAATAGAATTGCTGAGCCAAAGAATGTATAAGTTTTATATATAACTATAAAAATATAAATGTTGATATTTTGATATTTATTAACATATAAATTTTGATACATAAAGAATGTACTACTATTCCTTCTTATCTGATATGTGACACAGAGACTTTTTTTTCCTTCTGTACTCTCACTACCAATGTAATTATTCCTTGCAATCTGGTGCTTTCTTAATAATTTTTTTATTTGTTTATTTTTGGCTGTGCTGGGTCTTCGTTGCTGTATGGGCTTCTCATTGTGGTGGCTGCTTTTGTTGCAGAGCAGTCTCTAGGGCACGTGGGCTTCAGTACTTGCAGCTCATGGGCTCAGTAGTTGAAGCTTCCAGGCTCCAGAGCGCAGGCTCAGTAGCTGTGGCGCATGGGCCTAGTTGCTCCACGACGTGTGGGATCTTCTGGATAAAGGGTTAAACCCATGTCTCCTGCTTTGGGAGGCAGATTCTTTACCACTGAAGCCACCAAGGAAGCCCTGCAATCTGATCCTTTAAAAGATACTATTAGAGTATCTTTTACTCGTAATAAGCACTTTGGGGCTTATTGGACATTTTTCTCCCCCTCTAATTAATTGTCTTTTTGTACCCATTGCCTATCAATCTATAGAGAGGCAGTATAGATTATGGAGTCAGACAACCTGTGTTTGAATCTCTGCACTATATCACTTGTTATTTTTAACAAACGTGGGCAAGTGACTTGGCCTCTTTGCATTTCTGTGTCCTTCTCTGTTTCATGGAATTGTTGTGAGGGTAATTAAATAAGTAAAAATCTGTACACAGTAATTGCTATATAAATCTTAGCTGCTATTGTCATTTCTCCCCATCTTTTTCTTAATGATTTGTAACAGCTAATTACATATTAAGGCTGTTAACCATTTGTCATGTTGTAAATATCTTCCACCAGCTTTTCATTTCTCTTTGCTTTATTTGTGGTGTCTTGTGCCATAGTAATTTAAAATAGGGTTTTTTTGAACAAGTGAACTACTATATGAAGTAAATAGTAAATGTTTCCCTTTAGCCTTCCTTCTCTTACCCAAATTTTACCCAACTACCACTCCCCAGAAGTATAATATTTTTATGTTTAAAAATGTTTTATGAGCATATATATAATCATTTTATTCAAAAACAAATGGAATCGTGCCACATATAGTGAATTACTGTTGTTTTATTTTTCACTTATTATGAGCATTTTTCCATATATAGAGTTAATTCTCTTTAATGGCTTTTTAATTCCATTGTGTGAAATTACTATAATTTTTCTACTGAGCATGCTGTTTTTCGACATTTGGGTTTTCTCTAGGCTTTCTCTGCTACCAGTAGTGTCAAAGTGAATGTCCTTAAACATACGAGTGTGAGCAGATCAAGAGGTAAATTGTAAGACTGCAGTTATTACACCAAAAGGGAATGTGTTTTTCTTTTTAATTTTCACATTTCCTTCAACAGAATTAATGAAGAAATTTTAAGAATTAAGGTAGATCAGTGTTGTTTTCTGTTATGGACTTCTGGCCTTTGATGTTGTGCTAAGAAAAAGCTGCCTGCTATCTAAGAGTATAAAATGTCCTCCCAGGTTCTCTTACAGTCATTTTTAGTTGTTGGTTTGGGGGGATTGTTGCTTATAATTCATAGGCAGTTTATCTTAACTTGTACATTGAGCTAGGGATTCAGTTATTTTTTTTCCAATGCATCACTCAGTTTGAAATGTCAGTTTTGTTGTATGCCAGATTCCCACTGAATCTTATTCCTGGGCTCTATTCTGTTCCATTCATCTTTTTGTCTACACCACAGTTACTGTAGTTTTATACTATCTTTGACAGTGTCAACACCAGGGTTATTTTTTTCCTCAAAAGATTAAATTGAAAGGATAGTCAACTTATACTATACTTGGGAAATTTGAGAATATATAGGAATTTTCTGTCCCTTGAAGATTTAATGCAATCCATCCAAAAAACTTCTGGGCTTAGCACTTTCGTTTGGAGAAAGATCATTTATAATCTTTTCAGTTTCTTATAAGTTTCTGACTTGGTTTTGTTGATTTATATTCTCCTATGAAAGTATTCATCTCTCTTTTCATACTTAGTAATACAAAGTTGTACAAAGCAATCTATTGCCTTGTAAAGCTTCAAACTTATAAATATCTCTTTTCACTCCTAACATCATATACTGTGTTTTCTCTTTCCTTAATCAAATTTATTAGGGAGTTTTCTGTTAATTTTTTAGTAGTTAAGGGTTTCTTTTTTATTATATTACAGTAGTTTCCTATACTTTCCTCTCAAAGAATGTTATTGGAACAGTTCTGGTTTTTGTGGTCTTGCTCATGCATGATCAAATTTTGGAAACCATGGATCTTGGAAAGATATACCTTCTCTAATGGACTAAAAGTTATGTTTATGGCTGTAAAGTCAAGCTTTTAATTGATG